GTTCGCAAGGTGAACAATTCTAACGCATTCGTGACAATTGGAGTCATTAATTATTATACACACCGAGAGAAAGTGGAATAGAAGTCCTTTACAATATGAAGCAAATGCTTATTATAAAAAAATTCCAATTCCAAGATTTTATGACAGTTCGGAATATTGAGAAATTTTTATCTTCACGAAAATATTTTAAATATATATTTTTAAAAATGGCAAGTTTACGTGATACACTCGAGCTCATCTTAAGCTCGTAATGTCAATAGTTTCACAACGCATGTAATCTCTATATTTTTCCAAATATAATTTTATATAAGGCAGTTTAGAATAAACTCTTCTCAGTTTTGTTTTTATCATAATCAGCTGATTGTCATAATCAGCTGATTCGTAGAAAACGTCGAGTTATATACTCCCATATAACGTGTATATTTTAAATTATGCGAATAACAATGGTACAAATTAGAACGAATTGCGGAACACGCGGGATCTAACAGAACCAACCTTTACCACTAGCAGGTTAAATGTGCTCTCTCAGTGCATCCTCCACACAATTCTCCGGACGTATTACACGTATACGCACATATACATACAATCTTTCGCCATACGTTGCCTTTCTCCCTCGGCTTTTCCTCGTGTGGTAATATGTCGAGCATGCGATGATCACGAAGGACGCGACAGCCTTGAAGCTGCCTGAGACATGCCGTTTCCAATTAAATTGAGCTGTAAATCGGAACGATCGTGTATTCTCCTCCTTCTCACTCTTTTTCATATCAATCTAAATTGTTGTTCTCCACTTTTATACTCGTGAATTCTTGTAAGACGGAGTCGAAATATGATTAATCGATTTGATTTCTACATTTATAATTTCTCAATTTAAAGAGTTCGGATATTAATTAATTATGTGTGTGGTAGTGGCAAATTAATCTGCACCGTTGCTTAAGGATTATTAATGATCGCAATTATTAATAAATAACTGTAAATAGAGCGAGTATAATATAATGATTCATTTATTATTGAATCCATTATCGCGATGAAAAAAAAAATTAACGACTCAGATGCGAATCCTCGACTCGTCAATATTGCCATGCGATGTATACACGCGCGTGTTGATGACAATACACCCCGTATTCTTTCCACCTGTGATCTCGACATACTCCGAGGCGGCGAAGTAAACCGCGCGCTCAGCCAGCCGGGCATTTCCAACTCCAGTACTACGTAATTTCAATTACAGCGTATAGCCGGTGTTTAATACAACTTTGGAGTCATCGACCGACTAAAAATGCGCGTGAAACGCCTCGACGCGGAGCAGCGACGCGGCGCTTGTCGGATGTACTTGGTTGCGTTTCCTGCTGCGTGTTACTCAGTATCGGCTTCTGTTACGCCACGTTAAGACGAGCACGAAGGGCGACGCCCTTGCTGGCAGATTAGCGAACTGAACGGGCAGGTATCTCAATGCTCTGATGCCGTCTCACTGTAGACCGTATTCCTTGTATTCGAAATCAGATTTTCCTGCATGCGATTTATGACAGTAGAGAAAATTGTATCTGCAATTTTTAACCAGGGCAAGACTAAGTTTATATTTTATTTTTCTCATTTTTGTGACAATATTAATTTTATTCATTTTTGATAATTAATGATTTTGTATTGCTAGTAGATTAGTAAATCGAGGTATTTTTATATAAGTTCGATCAATACTAGAGAGCTATAAATTGTTAACTGATACCATATGTTTAACTGATTTTCATCATGACACAACGATTTCTCTCATGTAATTGTGACAAGTTGATAATTCACGTTGAAAACTTAAATCATTGAAGGATTGTGCTGCTAACTATACTGCATTAGAACCTGCACTTGAAAAGAACCAAAACCGATGATTGAAATGTCGTAATAAATAAACAATTTATAGCTAGTATTGGTTGAATTTATATAAAAATACCTTGATTTATTCATTTAAATTTTTCTACATTTTTCTTTGCTGATCGATATTGATTCACGGAGAGAATTTTCTCTTAAAATCTATCCTCGTGGTAATTAAAATCATGATAATCGTGGGACAATATGGTATGAATATTTACCACAATAAACTATTAATATATACATAATAAATTTTACTATGTATATAATAAAATTAATCGAACATATTTTATATCTTATTATGATAGATATTAATATTTTTTATTGTAGTAAATATTATCAATCAGAGAAACTCTTATAAAATTTCTAATACTATATTGTTCCACGATTAACATAATTTTCAGGATAAATTCTAAGAGAAAATTTGTTTTTATTATTGGCAAATTTTATTTTAAGTTTCAATTTATTAAAGTAATAAACGAAGTGAAAAACAACTTTTCAATCATGTACTGCAAATATGAAAGCAGAACTGAGATTGGTCGATATATACGGGAACATCTCTATTTAAATGACATGTCCTCGAAAATGGGGATGTCTAGTCATCAGGAATAACGAAGATGTATACATATAGTTCAATAAGATCTTGAATTTATAAAAATATCAAGTATCACGAAAAATCCGACAATTTTTACCTATTTTAAAAATTTAATTTAAATCACAACATTAAAAAACGGATAATTTGTAACTTTATAAATTTGTTATGTCGTATAATTAATATTTAAATATTAATAGAATAAAATAAATATAACTTCCGTGAAACTTTGCTCCGCAAATAATCGTGCTCTTGTTACCGGAAGAGGAAAGTGGGTCCCAATCAGAAACGCGTGCACAATTAGACATTCCTGCGCCATACATGTGGTAAAAGTAGTTATTCGTTTAGCAGTATGCGGCCAGGGAAAACCACTGCGGAATCTGGCTCTGTAATGTTATCCCAGTCGTGACTTTGCGGGAAAATGCAGTATTTTAACGTTGCTATGTCATACCTGATCACGTGTCTTCAACTTTCCCCTACGTGATATTGAAGCTCATACAAATACAGGTTTATTTTCGAAATATTTCAAGAGTAAAAGAAAGCCAGCAAAGTCACTCTTGTAAAAAGAAATTTTGAATTATTATTAAATAAATATTGCATATAATTAGTATATCTCGTCGAGATTATACATAATAAATATGTCCTGGTCGATCGTTTATTTTCTTCGCGTTACGTGGTTTCATAAATTTTAGCAAGTTTACCGTCGCTATTACCATATTTTATGTGCCTCGTGTAATATTTCCACGGAAATTGATGATCCTTTAACTTGATAATTTAATTATTAATGTATGTATTAGGCTAGAGAAAAATTCGTAGCCACATACGACTGGCATAGGAATGAGAGGATTGAAATAAAGCGGCGACATGAGGTCGATAGGCGTAAACCTCAGAATTACGATGTATAATCGCTCGTTTCCCGCTGCGGTGTGCGACGTCGGCGACAGGTGCGTGTTACGAGGCCGCGTAAAATGTGGACGTATCTTATTTCCCGTTCGTCTTCTTCTTCTCTTCTGGGTCCGTTCGACTACGTCTATGGTATTCGAAAGGGTGGGGATCATTCGCGACGGATACCGTTACCGAACTCCTTCTTTGCGGCCGTCTCAGCATCTCCTTGCACTTCGCGTACCTGGACCACAAGCGGGATTGCACTAGACTGCAATCGCATCCTTCGGGATTTTCCCCTGTCCATTTATATCCAATATGTTGCGGTTTTTCCCAGTATCTTTTTCTGGCGAAAATCATTCGCGAAATTGCTTCGAATATTCCAATATGGTATCGGAAGAATTTTAGAAGAATTTCTCTGATTATATACTTATATCATAATAAAAAATATGTACATAGTAAATTTTATTGCATGTATACAGAGTGTATCTAAATAAGTGCGAAAAATTTTAGATGATTCTTTGTCGAAAATTAAGGGGAATTTCTTACATAAATATTATATTCTTATAACTCCCTGAGGAGTTGCACTTTTCTAAAGGAGGTAAAAATTAAGTTTTTATTTTTTTTATCAAATTTTAGACAAATTAAAAAAATGAAATGGTAAATATACATCAAGTTTAATTTCTTTAATTTGTCTGAAAGAAAAAACTTACTCTTCAGGAAGTATAGAGTAAAATTAATTGAACATATTTTATGTCTTATTGTGAAAGATATATTAATAGTTTTATTATCATAAATATTAATCAGAAAAACTCTTAAAAATTTTTTCCAATACCATATTGTCCTACGATTATCATGATTTTCAGGGTAAATTCTAAGAGAAAATTCTCTCTGTGTAGTATTACCAAATTCTTGATAACAATTTTCTACATAAAAATTATATTTTAAGCATTTTGCACATGTACAGTGAGATGAATAATAATGCGATTCTTTAATATCTTTTATATAAGAGGGATTTAAAAAAAACAAACAACGATTACATTATTTATCAAAATTACATACAGAAATGTGAAATGTGAAGGCGAAATGATGTACCTAAATGGAAAAAATTAGACTCTAAAATGCTAAATTATCTTACTGTATACGTAACATATTACGTATTATACACCTTCGTAAATGATGTAAGCCAAATTTTTGCTTTCTAAAAAATATCCGATTTACATTATTTCACAAACGAGCAACTCGTATACAACAGCTTGTATTATCAACTGTGTCGACCAAAGGAAAGCCGGTGAGAGAAAAGAGAGAGAGAGAGAGACATTCGTTTAAAAATAAATTTAAAATCGCATTAGCAAACGAGAATATGCGGGCCATCGACCGCGTGAAAATCCCGTATGTCGAGTTATCGCGACTAATAACTATATATATATACGATCATCCCGAGAGAGAAGTGCCTTATCACCTGTATCGGTGTCTCACCGTGCCGCTTTTACGGGCGTGCATCTCATCGAAATCTTGCAATATGCACATATGTGTGACCATGAATGCGAGGAGGATCGCGACCAGACGGAGAGAAAAAAAAGTCATCGTTATCCATCCCCACTATATTATTTACAGAGTTTCTCTCCTTTCACCGAGCGTCCACGGGACCCATATTCCGGCGACCTCACCTCTTGCGATTAGTCGCCGGGAAGATACGACGGTGGCCGGCCACCGAGTCGACAGGTTTGCAACAAACAATTGAGAAAATAGAGCACGTTTTGCCAGAATCCCGTTCAAAGTCACCATCACAATTAAGTGCGAACAGTTTAATCGCGACGATTTCGACGTGGGTAAAAAAACATACAATATACACATAACATATAGTAGTCAATAATAATCAATAGTATATTTACAATTTTCAAATATATACATTCGTATTTTCCTTCGTGACAGATGCATTCGGTAACTGTTGAAAAAAAAACGCTACGTTAAATCCCCGTGTAGTTCCGTTAAAAATTACGGTGGTTAAGCGTAAACACACCGTGATGCCGTTTGACCGTGTGATCGTCGACGTATAGAAGATAATTCCACGTAATATCGTTCACGATTCTGAAATATACTGTTTTTCCACGATAGATTTATCTGCTAACATAATTGCCGACATAATGCTGCATCACAAATTACGTCATCATTGAAAAGCATGGTCGTTAAATGTCATCTTATTTGTCCGCGACGTGCGTATAGTGCATACCAAATGTAAGTAATAAAAGAGGCGCGGTTGTATGTAAAATATTTAAACATACCTTCTTCGAACGACATTCTTTATTTCACAAAATCACCGGACAAGGCCGTCCGTCGAGGTCGCATAAGTCAAACGTCGACAAATTAGGAACATTTGCGACCTACGCGTGGAACGTGACCATAATATTATGCAATAACGAATTAAACCACATAGCTGCTGTCTTAAAAGGATAGACGTTTCGGTATTAGAAAATTATAAAGATATTAGATGTAGATTGAAATCAAATTTTTTATTTCAATTTTGCGCACAGCATATATTTATATAACAACAAATTATATAATATTAATCGGTTTGCACGCTACGAGAGAAACACTCATATATTTATTTAGTTTACGATACATAATTTGCATATAGTATTGCATAATTGCATTTCATAATGTATTTAGTATGTTTATTCATTTATTATTTATTATAACATATCTAGCAATAGATTGTTGCTAGCGATTTCTAGAGAGAGAATGTCTAAATATTTATTATTTTATATGTGTATGCAATCTAAAGGAAACATTTGTTGCTTATTATATCATTATGTATTATTTATGATGATTTAACGCGCGTGGACTCCAAAATTGAATCGAAATTCCGCATACGTGGTTTCTGACGATTCAGCTGCTTCACGATGGAAGTTGCTTTTTACGCACCGGCGCTTAATGTCGATTTATATAGTCCATCGATGCCGATTCCGATCGGCCTCGTCTTCGATTCGCTTGGCAAACAGTTACGCGACCGTCCAGCTACTGGGCCGCGAGGTGTAATAACGCGCGAGTTACGGTAGATTTAGCGCGCGATAACATCCGGCGAAGTCATTAACGTCGTGTATGCATCCGCGCCGCGACATATTCAGTACCCAGTGTCTCGACGCATTTCCTTCTGATTGAGGATTGTTCGATAGTCCGAATGAGCAATCATTCCTTTTTCAATAAAGATTCGATGAGACATATTTTTTTCGTTATTAAATATTTTTTTTTTCGTAGAGCGAGATCGAATTTTGATATATCGATCAAATTAATTGGTCAAAATTATAAGAACAAGCACAGATAAAAAAGCTTAATTAATTTAATATTTATTAATTCAGAATCAGCTGTTTTACACCTCTATCTCTTTCTTTCTTTCTCTCTCTCTCATCTCTCTCTCTTTGAAATTTATTTATTTTATATAAAATAAAAATTATTATAAAATTCTCGGGATATACATAATTATATATATAAATTATAGATTAAACTTAAATATAAAAATTATTTAATTTGAAAGATTGCGTCTATAAATTACATTTTTTAAAAATATATTGTATGTATATATAAATGTAAAATGGAATGAACCTCACAATATCTGTGGTTTAGAGAAAGTATACGATTCTTATATAAACACTATGCATGCATTAATAATAGACGTGTGTTTCGCGATTGATACATTGATACTTAAAAAGTACCGATATTTACAGCATGAAAAACTTGATGATACAATTTCCTGAGGAAATAAGAAATATATCTCTGATCTTGTATCTTTTATAATTGACCGAGTTAACTTGTATATCCTATTTACACCATGTTTTTTCCATGAAGTATAACATGTACCGTTGCTCTCTCACGTTTGAACAAATTGCTGTAATTGCATTAGAAAAAATCAGTTCACGAATTGATTAACGTATATACATACACGAAATGAAATTTCACAATTTACGTAATAAATATAATAAATTTTTACACTTTGAAGTCTGTACATTTATATAAAATCAAAGGATTAGAGAGAGATTGCAAGACAATATTTTGTTTTATCTATGATAAGATAAAAGTTATAAAAATTATAAAAGATAATAAAACATATCTTGTGCAAAATCTTTCCATAAAAAAAAAATAATTTTTTATGCGACGTACGAACAAGTCGTTACTGCGCATTATGTAAGAAATAATTCGCGTAACTGACGATTCGTCTACTTGGTAGCGCACGACGTTATGAAATTATAATGAAGTCGCGATACGGTATTGCGCACAATTCGTAACTCTAAAACTGTATCCAAGGGTAATGGAGTGTTCAGGACGCGCCTTTTGGATTTTACGTTAGACGGCTTAAACGACAGTTATGGATAACCCATCGTTACCTTTGAATCGCGCTTATCGCGTTAACGAGATGGCTTTTATTAAGTAGAGTGGAACGGTGTTACGGTAACGCGAAGACCTAGTCCGCCGTTACATCTAAAGGCTAACACTCTGTGATCCTGCTCCTTATTTCTTTTTGTTTTCATAATTATTCCATCGAGAATCGTTGACATTCTCCTATCATTTAATAGTTCTATCGTTTAATTAAATGCATATCAATAATGACTATATATACTATTTCTCCATTTTATCACGAATTTTAGATACATAGATGCAGGTGCAAGAAAAATCTTACAGCGTTAAAAAAAATAAATTCAAATATATAAAAATTAATTCACAGCTCATAATGACATTATCGGTGTTGATTTTAGGAAAATGTTTTAATTAAAAAAAATATTTTATATTAATAAATTATATAAATTAAATATTTAAAAAACATATTCAAGCTTTAAGGAAATATAAACTATATTTATTGCAGTCATTATACATTCATTTTTCAACATATTTTTTAATATGAAATCAGAGCAGAGTTAGAGAGTCATGATCTGCTAGATAGTTACATCAGTTATGCATCTCTATATACATAACTGAATAACCTACTTTTCCATTCAGCATTTTCTTTGCGACCTGATAACTATAATATTTTATAGTTTGTGTTCAATTAGCGAATTATGATCATATATAGGATTTTCATTAAAAATTTGAAGAAGAAGACAGAAGAATTTATTCCCACGTTTTTGATAAAACACGATTCGAGTTGCATTTTATCTATTTGATGCCTTCTTTTCGCGGAAATTTCATTGTATGGACATTAGCCGTGTCATCGTATAATGTATCTTTTCAGAGAAAAAGAGAGTCACACACAAAGTTTATGTAAGACGATAAGACACGACTAGAGATCGACGAGCATCGTGCCGTATCATTTCGACAACGCAAATCATTCGTGCTTTAATTTATGCGCTGCAATAATCCGCTAATATTTGTTGCGGTAAGCCGCATTTTTATTACATTTTTGTAGTGAAAGCAAATATATACGGTTAAATGGACCTTAGTATCACACTACGCATTCATTGAGCTTAAATTGGTAGGAAAAAAAGATTAAGAAAGAACCGAAAAATACATATCACATTTTTTAAATCAAATTGTTTTGCATTTCGTAAACGTAAGCAATACGACGTATTAATTAATTATAATTTTATTTGTGTCTGCGAGAAATTGTAAATTCAAAGTTTGCAAATAGACGTTTATCTGTAGTCTTTATATTCCGAGTGTAAATTACATCAAGACTTTTATGACTTCAATCTTTCGTACGATTGAATTCTACGAAATGATAAGTGCAGGCTAGATTGCAATTTTCGAGAAAAATTGTATATCTTTCAAATATTATTTTTTTAAATATACAGGCGACACAAAAATAATACTCATTTTTAAAAATTAATAATAAGATATCAAGTTTTTTTTCCATGAAAATTGATGACTGCTTTTAATATTTCCAAAGAAACTAAATAATTCTGTTATAGTAACTTGACACCAACAAAGAGAAAAATATGCTTACTGCATTTATGAGAAGTTCATTTTGCAAGTTCGTTAAATATATATTATAAAAATAAAATACTTTGCTCTAAACTCACAGAAAGAAAGATTACCCCTAAAATTTGCCCGAAAATACATAAACTTAAAATATAATCATTACAAAATTCTATATTAATATGAAATTACTAATGCGAGTATCAATCCCGATTTTCTGGACATCTCATCTTCCTCATATTTTTCATTGATATGATAACAATAGTCGCGGCCGCTGGAAAATCGTATCTTCATCCGCGTCTGAGAACAAATCTCGATTCCGATGATACGTTCGGGATTGGCGAATAAATCGGCGAATAAGTCGCGAACATGCTGAAGTGGGTGCACTACTGCCCGTTGCCGAGAGAACGCGCGATCGCGTCCTCGGACGCGAAGATGGTCGTTCCGGACGAGATCACGAGGGACGAGAAGGACGGGAGAAGGACGACCGAAAGAAGAAAGGATAGCTGCGGCACGGTGCGAAGTGCGCGAAACGCGAAAATCGCTACGCCGGACGCTATCATGAGGAGGTGCTTCCGGTTTGGGGTAAGGAGCAAAGGAATTTGACAGTCGGCTGCACACGGCGGTCTCGAGGTCGACAAAGGCTTCTTCCGACACGTGTAATCTCCGCGTATTAACAGCGCCGAAACCGTACATTTTTGCATTTTTTCCTTTCTGTTTTTTTGCTTTGTACAAATGGCAAATTCATTATTTTGACATCCTTGAGTCTAATAAATGTCATTATTTACTAGGCAGTTATATTCTTTCTGCATCTCCGCTGTACGTTTAAGCATTCATCTTTTATACATAGTTTCAAATCTTGATGTAAGAAACGTCTATAATATTGCGATATCCGGATACTTATTAATTATCAGGTATTAATTTTTATGATGCGTTGTTGTGCATAGTGAAGTAACTTCTCTTAACAATTACTGGATATGTCGTATATATGTCATACTGGTATTAAGGCATAATTTCATAATTTCTGTTATAATTATGAATAATTATCATATAAATGTAATCCATTATATAAATCATAATCAATAATATTTCTTCTTTCTGTATGGGTGTGTTATATAAAAATTAAATTAAAAATATCAAAAAGTTTATTTAAATGTAGCAAATACATATAAGTACCCTCGTGAATGAAGATGATGCTACATATTTATCATATGAATTAATTAACCATGTTTTTGCGTCTTTTTTTATATATTCTTACGTGTAATATAAACATAAAGAGATAATTGAATGGCGTATGATAATTTTAATTTTATTATAATTTTAATTGATCTTAGAACCGTTTTAATTTTATTATAATTTTAATTTTATTAGGTATAATTTTAATTGATCTTAGAACCGTTTGGATAAATATTGTAAAAAAATAGAAAGAATCCTTGTGTGGAATTCACATCATGTATTTCGATATAGACCTAACAAAGAAAATGTCCTATTCCCACATTTATAATATGACTTAAACTATAATCTGAACAAAGTCTAGTAATCACTGGGCAAAGTTAGATTGATCAAGGTGATTAGCGGAACTGGTCTTTATCTTTGCGGGAATCCTTGCGGATTATGTGATTACGGATCATATATGATGCGTCGAAGGCATCGCTAACTATGCGTTTCATGCTTCGCAGGGTTCGGATCCGAGGGTAGCGACCTGCAGAGGAAAGCTGCAGAACAAGCGGAGTAAGCTCAACCAAGAGATCAACAAGGAACTGCGGTTACGAGCAGGTGCCGAGAATCTTTTCAAGTAAGTACTTTCATATACATCCGTTCGATACTCTTATATTAATATAGAATTTAATATATACGCATATATAAAATTATACATTTGTATAGATGCAACTATATATAATTGAATATAGTAACTAAGTAATGTATTAAAATTCTATCAATTAATCAGTAAATTAATTAGAAATGTAGTCTTGTTAACTTTTTAACTTCACAAAAAATTAATTTGCGGAAAGGTTTTTTTCAATTATTTATAATTTGAAAATGATTGATGCTTTTTATCACAATTTACAGTCGTAAATAAAAAAATGTAAAATAAAATTTTGCTGGACAGCTAAAATAGTTATATCTATAGATAATTTACATTTGCGCTTACATTTACATTTGTATTCATTTCTTGTTAATCTCATTACAGGGCAACTACAAACAGGAAATTGAAAGAGACTGTCGCCTTGGAACTAAGCTTCGTCAATTCAAATCTGCAGCTATTGAAGGAACAGCTTGCCGAATTAAACAGCTCGGTGGAGTTGTATCAAAATGTCGATGGGTAAGTTTGATGAAAGAATTACAAGCTTTACTGATATCTGTGACAAATATATATGACATCGTATCGAACTATTTTTTTCTTTCAGCGTTGAGCCTATTATGCCGATGATACCATTGGGACTGAAAGAAACCAAAGATATCGACTTTCAGGATCCATTTAAGGTAAGTCCTGACTCAACGCGATGATTCATTTTTAGGATCGTCGTAATATTCCTGATGATTTTTCATTCGTCACAATCGTTTGCTTTGTCTCTATTTATTCGAGAGGCGGTACGTCTGGATTGTCTTCGAAATTTTCGAGATTCTTCTCCTTCTTCGCGAGATCCTTTTCATCCATTTGAGCTCGTTTCGCGAGATCTTTGGTCACCATCAAAAAATCATGAATATCCGAGGATGGTCCGATCTCCAAGAAGGCTCGCCGGGATATTATAGGCGGCCGAACTGTAAGGATCTTCGTTTCGCATTTGGATTCTTTCTTTTTCATCGATTCATCCTTTTTTACGATTATTGTACACGAGGCCAAGCGGGCCATACTGACGACCAAGTTTCCGGTGATTGTATTTCGTTGAACATTACTTTTCTCGACCGATACCTCGCAAGGCAGAGTCAACTGCAGAATCTTCCCTTTTATGGTAACTCGTACGTAAGTCGGGTTTACGTCGACGTCGACGTAAGAAGTATCTAAGTGCCTACAAATTTGAGAATAATAGAACAAACAATTTTAGTAAGTTTGATAAAGTATAAAATAGACCAAATTATAATAATTATTCGAATATTTTAGAAATTAATTATTTCTTCAAAAATAATTTGCCACGATATATATTTTTTCTACCCAATATATGTAGATTTGTTTACCCAATTATCTTTTGCGTGAATGTACCTAATATATAATATTCGTGAACATAATATAATATCAATGACCTGTAAACGGAGACTTCGAGAATAACAAAATTAGGATCATCTTCATCGTTTAACTTGAACGACACTTTTGCTTGATTTATATTGTAAGGTCTTCCGTTTGGAGCGAACAATTTCAACACACGTTTAGGACGATCATCTCTTTTATTCGAAAAACGATTTTTCATCTCTTGTTTCTTCAAGGATCGCTCGGCGATGGTAATTCTATCTTCTGGCGTATGATAACTAGGTTGTTTCCAGAAACGTTCGTTCTCCGCTTCGTCATCATCCTGTTCTGTATTTGCGTTCTCCGCTTCGTTTTTTATTTTTTCATTTTCCTGTTCTTCTTCTACAGTATTCTAAAGGAAATATTATTCGTTCTTATTTGCATTTTTTTTTACTTTAATATGTCTGTAATTTAAATTGCTCACAGACTTCAAAATATGTTTACTCCAATATATATCTTATCTAAAGAAACAATTTTTTGTAGCCTTCTTGACAGTCTTTTGTTATTCAAATTAAAGTATTTTACCTTCTTTCATAAATTAACATAAAGATTTATGTTAATTGTTGTGGCCTTGTGAATTACATGCAAGTAGAATACACTCAATAATATTTAAATAATTACTGGATAATAACTGATCTATATGCTCTTAAATTACATACTAGCTCAGAAAGGGAATTACCGTGATGAAACGTTTCAGAAACGGGATTACCGTCCATTACTCGCATACATCGCAAAAAATTTACCGTCTTTATCTCTGTCATTTTAACTGCAGCATTGTGACGTGCCCGTTCGGTTATCCTGGTTTTCTCGTAGCGTTGATAACTCTCGATAACGTCGTCTCGTGCTCGCGCGTAAATCTGCAATGCTTTGATACGCTCTGATCTTTCGATCTCTTGCATGTCGAGCTCTCGCAATTGCGGAAGAGTCGCCACAATATATTGTCTATAATATTCGTAATCCGCGCACGGGTTTCCCATTAAGATCAGCTGCTCCAGATTCTCATTGCATCTAAGGGAAACACGTGATTGAATCGGCAATATTAAATATATTTATTATTTTTCTGTTATTTAATACTTAGAGGATAAACATTTAGAGAGAAAATATTTTGCAATTTTATCGAAATTTATATTTATTGTGATATAATATGTTTTGAGAGCAGTTATTATAAATATAATTATTGGTTATTTTATTTTGTAAATTTAATATATATTTAACGACAAACGTCATTTATGAAAAAAATATACCTGAGACTTTTTACATTCTGTAGATTGCCGATGAAGTTGACGGTGAGATCTAACTTCTTCAAGCTCTCTAAGCCCTCCAGATTCTCAATAACCTCGATGTTATTGAGAGCCAAGTTCAAGTATTCCAATCTCTTCAGCATACTCAGATTCTCTATCTTTGATATAAGATTATTTTGCAACAAGAGGATCTTCAGATATCGGCAATGTCTATCTATCAGCTGGATTTTATCGATATTCTCTTGATGCAAAGCTATCTCTTCCAACGTCGATATTTCGCCCTCGTTGTGTTCTGAGCGTTTTCGTATTAATTCGAGAGTGATTTTCACCATTTTTTTATTAGTTTATAATTTTAATGAGAATTATTAATACGTAAATTAAATTCGCAAGCACGTCTCAAGAAGAAATGCGTAAATACACATTAAAAGTCAACACTGAAAAGTCTCATAGTTGCTATGAAAACATCGATTTAACATTGTTGGTCACGTGCTGCGATTCCACGTTTTACATGCACGTGTCGCGAATTATTGATTGCCCTGCGTAAACAATTTTTTTTTTTTATATAGGATTTTATCTTGGAGCACTATAGCGAAGATGGCGAAAATTACGAGGAAGCTATAGCAGATCTAATGGAAACTAGACAGGTAAGTAAATAATATATGTGTCTTTTCTCATAATAATATAGTAATCTAAATTAAATTTGTGAAAAATATAAAAAATTCTCTTGTCTCATCTTATAATGTAGAAACTCCTTGTTGGAGGCTGTTCCACATAAATTTTCTCTAATTTTAATACATAACATTTTAATGCGTAACATTTTTAATGCCTTGAATATAATTAAAATGTAGAAAAAATTAAGTTTAAGTTTAATATATTACAAACAAATATTTAATTATAGGCCACGAGGACACCAACTAGAGACTCAGCAGGCATCGCGTTACTTCTGCGTTATTACAATCAGCTCTACTTCATAGAGAGGCGATTTTTTCCGCCCGATAGAAGCCTCGGCATCTACTTCGAATGGTTCGACTCGTTGACAGGAGTGCCAAGTTGTCAGCGAACAGTCGCCTTCGAGAAGGCTTCGATTCTCTTCAATGCCGGTGCACTCTACACACAATTAGCTGCTAAGCAGGATCGTTTGACCGCTCGAGGACTCGATCAGGCGGTTGACGCTTTCCTACGGGCGGCCGGCACTTTTCGATACATCCACGAAAACTTCACGAATGCACCGAGTATGGATTTGGGTCCAGATATGTTGGAGATGCTCGTGCAACTGATGCTTGTAAATTTTTATTTAATCCTACTAATTTCTATATGAAATAAAATTTTCTTCGCTTATTTTTTTTTAATTATGCATATATTTTTCGCATATATATTTAATTTTTTATACATTATATATACATTTGCAGAAAATTTTTAACAATATACTTTATTTTTAATATATTTGTACATGATATATATTTTTACTTAAAATTGTTCTTCTAAAGTTTAAATAAAAATTATAATCCTATTCTATTGTGTCATAATTTCGATTAATTCTATTAATGATTAATTCATTTCATGTTCTCTTTTTCAGGCTCAGGCAAGAGAATGTCTCTTCGAAAAATTGGAGCTTCAATCAAGAGACGGCAGAAACATCGATGTTTGTTTGGATCTTGCTCAAGAGGCTACCCAGGTAAAAACAGATTTCTTATATACGATTAACTATCTATGTCTGGGAATTTTCAGTGTGATAAATATGAATGAATCATCGAGATAATTAATTTAGGTTGCGGCAATATACAATGACGTCCACGGATTGATATCGCGCGAACCGGTTCGTGACTACGTCCCGGAGACTTGGATTTCACTGATACTGGTGAAGCGCGAGCATCATCTGGCCCTTGCTCACAAGCATCTCGCAGTCGGTCTGCTGGACAGACCAATTGTCGAGCTTCGTGTAGAAACAAGGCTCACGTTGGAGCACATTCAGAAGAGCGATGGAAAGACTCAATTGGACATAACCGTTCCCAGAGATGATAACGAAAGGAAATTATTGGGTATTACACTCTCGTTATTTTATATATTTAACACTTATCATTTTGTTATTCAAATTGATATATCCAATATTATTTTTTTAATATTTCCAAGTGTTTTCTGATTCATTTTAATTATATATATTCTAGTAGTTTTTTATAATTATAAAGAACGAATAACACGGAAAAAAATCTCATCAATCATTGCAGGCAAAGCTCATCTCAGAGAAGCTCTCGTTTTGCACGACGAGAGTCAACGACTACAGAGAATGTGCCGCGATCTGAAGGGTAAACAAGCGTTAGCGAGGGTTTTGAAGAAAGCACAAGAAGCAACACTCGACAGCTATAATAGATTCGGCAACGAAGATGATTTTCGAGAATTGTTAGATCCGCCAGATATCATTGGTACGATATTTTTCGAATAAAATACATTAATTGTTGTAATTTAATTTCGTTTTCTGCATTTCGCTAGAAATTAATGCAAGAAAGATATTTGAAAAAATTATTAATTTTTAATTTTCTATTTGCATATCAGCTTCTACGAAATTTCAACTTAGCATTACTCATCCGGATTTCGGGCAGCACGGAGTGGATGATCTATTCAGATCGTTAGGACCAGTAGCGATATTTTCGGCCAAGCGACACTGGACCGCGCCGCGATTGGTGCAGCTTCAAAGAGGTCCTGACGGCGAAGGTTTTGGATTTAGTGTACGCGGCGACGCTCCGGTGATAATAGCTGCCGTCGATCATAATTCGCTAGCTGATGTAAGAATATATTTATTAACAATTTTTTATTGGTTAAAAGTCGATAATCTAACAGTAACAGTATAATTTTTAATGATATTTATGAAAACGATTAATGACGAAAGAATTACTTTTTATTTTAGGTGGGCGGAATGAAGGAGGGCGACTTCATAGTCGGCATCGGCGACAAAGACGTCAAGTGGGCATCTCACGAGCAAGTTGTACGAATGATAAAGCAATGCGGTGACTTTATAAATTTAAAATTAGTCACACCAATGGACAGAAATTATTTAAAGGTATGAATGATAAAATTCATAATTTAATTAATGAGAAAAAGATATTTTTAAAACTATGCGGTGATTATATTAATTACATGACAAACTTTTTTTTTATTTATTACCATATTATTTTCTTTTTGATTGAAAGAATAATCACAGTTGGAATATTCTTTCGATAAATCATTGAAATAAATATGAGAAAGTACGACGATAGGAATTATATAATTATTTTAGAAACCAGGGAAGCCCAACAATCACCACGATAAAGGCAGCGTTTCAGCGAGTAGTTCTTCTGGAGTGTCTTCCGGTCAACCGAGCCCAGCGGGATCTGTCACTACGGCACACGTAGTTAAGAGGCTTCCATGGAATCCGTTCAAAAAGTCCGGCGCTCAACGCGAGAACAGAGACCTAACTTTTGACAATGTTATTCTCAGATGATTGCCGAGCGAAAAGTGTACCTAGACCTTGTCCGGATTTAAAGTAGGTCGCAACGAATAGTTGATCGACTCATATGTACATGAAATAAGATTTGCAAAAATAGTATCGATTGTCAAAATTGAATATTATTCGGCATAAATAACAATCGAAAGCCGTGCAACTTTACATTAATATCGTATTTGTATTATAAGTATGCAACAAATATATCTGCATGGCATAGATATATGGATAACATCTATCTTCTTTCTCTTCTTTTGTGAATTCGTTGCGCAATTGAACAATTAATTGAACAATTCATATTTATGCCGCAAAATATTCGACATTTCAAATTTTTCTTTTTCAATGAAATTTTCTATATAAGCAAATTTTGTAAAATATCTTTTCTAGCAAGTATATATGCGGATCTATATTCAACAAGTTTGAAAGTATTCTGAATATTGATAATATATAAAATTCTTCAATAATTAATATTATAATTTTTGCCAATGTTTTTACGAATAATAGTGCCAACACACAGTATAAGAAATCAACCATAAAAGATGCAAGAAAATTGCTCATTATCGCGTATATCAATGGGCATACATTTTGTACGACTGAATTATGATTCTTTTTGTCAGATCGTTTATGTAAGTTCGTTTACGAATCGTTATACAACGATAAAATAAAACGAAAACACATGGATAAATGTTCTGATAAATACAGTCGCGTAGCAATGCGGAATGCAAATTCCGTGATTGATACATATTTCGTACTTAAAGTTTTGTTAAGCGAATTAATATGAATCGGGTGTTTATTCGCGCATCTGTACATTTATACATAGATGTAGCATCGGTAGAGGCGTGTGTATACAGCTTTTTATTTTATATATATAAATATATATGTATATCAAAATGAGAGAGAAATTATATTCAATTTCATCTTGAGGGAAACGATTTTCATTTTAATTTTCCCAAATGCCCTAAATTTTATTATAATTGTGATATTGGAAACTATAACAATAAATGTATCGTCGTAAAATTTCTAATTACAATCGAGAAGAGCTATAACTTTTTATATTCGATATATTTAGCGATTTTGATTTCGTAAGATTTATATTCAAATGAGATTTATTATTTAATCTTGTCTTTGTATAAACATATAAAAAGTTAATTTTTTTAAATTAAATTTCTTTAAGATTGAGAGCATGTTTTAATTATTGAAAATAATATAAATATATATCAAACTACATTTGTAGCTAATTTGATATATACCTATTCTGGATATTTTATTAATAATATAAGACTAAGTCTTGCTAAAATCGAACTGAAGGTCATTGCACTTTCAATGAGCGTCGTTGAAGCTTATAGGATCGTCGGAGAAAGTGCAGCGGCTGAAGCATTCTTGGAACGTGTTGGTAGCCACTCAAACGATACGAAACTTTCAAACATGTACGACGATTACATGTTCAATGACAACCACATTAATGTGGTCACAATTTCATAGTATATTGCGCACAATTTTATATTCATAGTATCTGCACATAAATATATACAATTTATTATTTTTTATGAAAGCGTCTCGAAGTGATCAAGTCATTTTTTATTCAATTTGCTAAAAAACGTGAAAACAGTATTTTTTTACATTATTAATAAAATTATTGAGATTGGTAAAATCTTAGAAAAAGTAATTATTATTTATATGCGTATAATGATTCGTATATGTATATTTGCAGTTATTTTTATTATTTCTAATCCCGTATTATCTGTATTATTTATCAATAATTGTAAAGTCTAAAAACATTACGTGCTGCAAATTTTCTCTTTATCCTATTTTTCGCACAATAGGCACGATAAATTGCATATAAGGTGCATCGTTGGATTGATGGATATGCATTGATTCAAGAGCCTCGTTTAAGAATCTACACATAATTGGCCTCAAAGTTTCGTTACGGTCATAAAACAATCCTGTCGAGATTTCTACTTTCTTGGATCCGATACTGTTATAGAGCTTTTACTATAAGATGATTACAAAAAAAATATAATTATGTTCTATTATATATAAAATAAAAAAATTTTTAACATAAAATGTACAAAGATTCAATTTTCACAAAGTGAAAAACAAAATGTAATTTTAATATAATATTATATATTATAAAGTAATTAATTTAATTTGATAATTTCTAAGATAAGACTTATAATATTTTTACTGTCATTTTCGAATGTTCGTTTTGTGACTTAGAATGCGTGTATATCACGAATGGAATGAACGGAAGTACCTTTCAAATGCAATTATCTGACAATTTTCGCTTGCAGTATGGAACTTGTTTTTACAAAATTAAATGACTCATACTGTGACCACCTGTTTAACGACACTAGTCGTTTTTTATTTCAGATAACAGGTACGTCAGTGACAGAGGGAACCTCTTCAAGAAAGAAACTTGTATCGAATTCTAAGATCGAAAAATTCATCAAGAAATAGAAAGGCGTATTCTCTGATATATATATATAAACGCGTGTCATGACTTTCACCGACGCGACGTCAAGAAAACGTTGTTGTGCCAACGATTATTACGCAATAATTTACGCAGCTATAACGGTATAAGCAGGCATGCGGTACGTCCGGTTGTAGCATTTGTGGTTAAATTTCACGGAATAAAAGGTGGAATAAAGCGCCTGATTATCCGTACAGAGGCCTAACCGAGCTGATGAGAGAAGCTTTCTTCGCTTTCTAGACGTCCATGCTTTCTTGCATGTTTAAAAAAAATAAATTTTAATCACAGTTTGCATGTATAGGCAGAATTCCTTTTTATTCGAATTCAGTCTTCATCTGTTTTGATTAATCTATAAAATGTCATATTTCCAGTATTTAAAATAATGTTAATAAGCTGACAAGATTATAAGCAGACTCGATTTTCATCTCGCATTTAAGCAAATTGAAAAAAAGTCTAGCTTGTATTGAAAAAAAGAAGCAATGAACTCAGAGCTCTTGTATTAGTCATAAGTTTTCATCTATAGAGGATAAAGTTCTCAGCATTTCTTTCAATGTTTCTCGCCGTATATTTATTCGGTAATCATGAATACAAAGACGAACAGTATTTCACCTTATTAGATTTATCTTGTTATTCTATAGTTGAAAATCTCAATATTTAATAAATTCAGAACATTGAACGCATAAGCCGTTATTTTTCAGATTTACAAACATAAATCTCTTTCAAAAATGCTCGCCAAGACTCTTCGTATGCTAAGTAACTGATAATAATCAATTTCTACAAGTCAAATGGTTCCATTTTACGCGGTCGTAACAAATACATAATTTTATTTGCAACTACGTCACCTTATTCACGCTTGAAATGTAAAAAAATACTTAATGGTAATAATCAATTATTATTTATACAAGTTTTTATGCACACGTTATATACTGCTTTTATGTATTTTTTCATACTATATGTCTTACAAGGTAAATAATTTTACACGTCATTATTTTTTGCATAATTTTTAAATTTTAGTTTAAACTTTTAGTTTATCATGTTTATCTCGATTTATAAGATAATTTATAACGATACGTCAATCACATGTTGTCAAATTTATTGCGTTTTTTTTGTCTACATATAATTTTAAAAAATATTTAAAAAACGTAAAAGCTATTCTTCTCTTTTTAGAAACGTATAGGTATATCAAATTATAATACTATGTTATAAAAATTTTATTTTTCAAGATTTCTTCTGTCTCTTTTCTTTTATTGAATATTTTTCTTGTAATTCAATATATGGCAAAAATCATTCACTATATTTTACATTTTGCATTGAAAAATAATACAAAATAATACAAAAAATACAAGAAAAATGTATTAGAGAACATTGCATCAAGTTTATCAATTTTTCGACAAAATTCGTGCTCCACGAAGAGCAATATGATATAGATCTGGATGTTACTGGATATAAAGTAAAAAAATAATCGTGATATTCATCAGCGCTCAGCAATCTTCGCTCGAATGAGCGAGTGAAAGTAAAATGAAAGATTACGAAAAGAAAGTGAATCCTTCAACAGTGTTAGCATTCGAGAATGGGTGAGCTTCTTTAGTGCTTTTTATGTCAAGGAAAGTAACACAATGTAATACTTTAATTCATCCTATTATAAGCGAATCGTGATCAACTCCTCAAAATATATTATAAAAAATTTAACAATCTCTCTCATTTAATGTAACAATAACGAACAATTAACGTGCAAACTTCATCTTTTTTATGTGATATACATAAATCACTTTAGACACTCTTTAACTTTTTATTTCTAAACACTTTGGTGAAAGTGCAATCATATATTTGTGCAGAAATACTATTTTATGTAATAGACTGCAAATACTTATGTACAAGAATTTATATAAAATCTCAACATTTATATTTATTATTGTCTTCAGCGCTAGGTTGTTGTAGTCCAAAAAATTATCTTCTCTTTTAATTTTAAGATTATAATTGACGGAGACAGCTGTATGAGATTAACTATGGCATTACATAAATACGAGTTATTGCATTTGACAATTTGCATTTGACGATGCAAATGAGAAACAACAGCTGGCTCAACTTTAGATGTGAATATTATGTGACGGCACGTTAACTGTCATGGATTCTTCCTACGTTAATGACTGTGGTAAATGAGTTCCACGAATTCTACACTTAATAAGAATTCTTTTTGGAAATTGTTTTTATGACTAAAATGTATTAAAAATTAATATTTATAAAAATATTAATCTCATACATAATATATTGTCATAAAATTAAAAAAGAAGAATCCCTGAAAATTTCAGAAGTTTCGCTAATTTCTAATTAGTGAAACTTTCCATAAATAATATTAAATTATCTATTGATATCATCATTATATCTCTATGAATTAAAATAAGAGCAGAGAACATTGTAATTTATTTAAAATTTGTCAACATTGAAAAAGACAACATAAATCTGTCTTGATTGTAATATTTCATGTAGAAATTAAAAATCATTATTTATATAAAAAATTATTAATAAGTTTAAAAAAAACATAGATTCAAATTTCGTTAAAATCGTTTAAATTGATTAATTATTTGTCCATATAATGGAATCAATAAAATGCAGATACCACATTTTTATATCAAAGATTCTTTAATATAGATATTAATAATAAAATTAATAATTAATAATTAATAATTAATAATTACATATTGATTGTTATATATATATATATATATACACCTTCTTTTAAAATTTAAAAACTCACCTATGTGCCATATAATAGGCAAACATACTTCTCGTGCATGTCGTATGAATGTGAGCGAAAGATGGAGAACACCGACAAGATGTAGGTGAAGGTCCTGAGAGTCCGTTCACGTTGGAGAGTCAGCACCACCACGACAATCCCGCCTTAAATTGACCAGCCGATCGAGCAGCCGGGTTACTTTGATGTACATCGCTCGACGGTCAACGTCTCTTTCTCAATTTGGTACTGTGCATTAAATCGGGAGACTAAATTTTCGTTTTGCGTCGTGGATAGACGTGTTCTCCAAAACTAAAGTGGGATCAAAACAGTGCAACATTGATTGAAAATTTCAACTAGAACATTTCGATTAGATGATTTCGACTCAATAAAATCCAACAGCGATTAAAATTTCTCGAAGAAGCGTAAAGAGAAGAGAAAAGGAATTATTTCGAGGAAAAAAGAAATTGAATAAAAAAAGTAATTTAGATATTAAATCAAATCTTATTAATCTGTCAAGAGAGTGTGTGGATAAAATATCTTGTATTAAAATTAAAATTTTCTCTTATATGTATGGGATTACATATATAATGAATAATGAGTGCATACGGTTGAGTGAGTTAAAGAATTTTTAGATATCTAAACAAATATAAATTATTTAAAAAACCTGTTGCAAGACGTTTTTTTAAAGACAAATAAATAAGTTTTCTTTTTAATAAATTAGAAAAATAAAAAAATAAATATATCAAAGTACAAGTTAACTTTATGCGGAATTGAAAGAAAGACATGCAAAGGGAAAATGAGGATAAGAAAAAAAGAGGACGTCGATAAATTCGAAAGCAAGAAACCGGAACTTTAAATTGACCGATTAATCAAAAAATCGAATTAAAGCTTTTAACAAGACGTACAATTTAGAGCTTTTTTATGAATAGACAAAGGCGTTTGGCGAACGCAAGGTAAAAGTGGATCAATGCAACCCGTTCATCAAGTTTGCAAGATAATTTTCTCACAAAGCATTTATGTTGTCTTTTTCATCAACAAATATTTTTTTACAATAATGAAAATTGTTATTCTTTTTATTAAGTGTGCAAAATATAAATTTTATATAAATTTAAATATAAATTTTATATTTTGTAGATAAAAATTAAGATTATCATTATAATTGAAAAAAATATAATTTTAATTATCAAAATATTTTTAATTTTTAATGATTTGATCATTTTTTAAAGAATTTTCTAATTCTAACACAAAAAAATTGTTGAGCTTCTAAAATCAAAATGTGTTAGTTACTCAGATCAAAATTCCATCGCAAAATTTTTGACATCCTTTTTTATATAATTTATGATTCGCCGTGTTCTTATTAATAAGAAATCATTTTAGCACTTTTTAACAAACGCGAAGAAAAGATAATGCTAAATATGATAATATAATAATTTTATGAATTATTTGCATTACTATTTCATACTGCATTTTTGTAAAGCAGCAATTCAAGATCAACATTATGTAAAATTAAATATTTAAACTCAAAACATTTTAATAAATTAAAATATCGAATTAATTTGCGTGTCTATATTATGTTTTAAACAATATCGCGTTCGCGCAGGTTTGCGATATTGCGCTTCAGATGTGTCGCGATGGGATAGAAAGTTGGGTACATCGCGAAATGTATGTGTTCTCGTTGCACACAGCGGTTGAGGCCTCTTATACTACTTCCTCCCGATGTCTCACTTTCATTCCGTGAGTTGTTTAAGCATCGTATACATGTGTCGAATTAAATATAAAAATAGTCTTTCTTATTGTGATCATTTTAAATACAGCTTTTTCAATAATAAAATGAAAAATTTAAGTGCTTTTAATTTTTAAATTGTTTACGTGAGATATGCATTTATATTATAATTATATTAATTATTTTTAGAACGAAAAATTATTAACTAAATATTCAATTTGATTAAAATTATCAGAATATATAAAAATATGTGTTTAAAAGTTTATTTTTAATATGAAAATAGTAAAAGAAGTATTAATTTATTCTTTTATCTAAAACTTATAAACAATAACATTTTCATTAATTAAATATTAAATAATGAAAATATTAATTAAAAATTAAATAATGAAATGTGTATTTCGCTTGTGAAATTTAATTTTACAAGTATGAGAATAAATATGAATTTAAAAGAGAGAGCGTGTCGTCATATAAATTAATATCGAATGTTTTATGTAAATTTTTACTCTTCGTTATCTCCGCTATAATATAATTCTCTAATATAATTTTCTATTAGATATACTATAACATCTCAATGATCGGTCTGCTTTCTCTTTACGCTCCATATCGTATTAACAGCTCCTTAGCAAGCAATAGTTTGACCAAGAATCCTAATTCGATTTTCTCGTTTTATTAATATCATTTTTCACATTTTTAATTAGACAATAATATATTATTATTTCGATCATGAAGAAAATAAATTCAACAACCAATTATTCTAATTTTTTAAATAATTTAGAAAAAATTAGTTTTATAAAATAATTTATAATTAATAAAAATAATTAATATGTAAAATATTAATAAATTAATAAAATATTTTTATAATTTATAAAAAATGTGTGTACTTTATAATTCTTTTTTTTTTTTTTTTTTTTTTTTTTGAGAGAGAGAGAGAGATTTATTAAAGTGCTGGGATAACGTTGTTCAATCGGGACATAGGATCCACAGGATAGAATGTCAAGCTCGAATTACTTTTCAGACAATGGTGACAGAGGGGCAGCAAGAAGAGTACGACGAATACAAGAGCACGTTGGACGCGAACACATTGGAAGCGGCCAGACTGGAGCTTCGCGAGGATGACAACACGAGGGAACAAGCTTTGCAGCAATTTCGTCATTGGATCCAGAAGCATCCTATGATCAAGAAGTGCAGGACCGACTCGCTATTCCTATTGAGATTTCTCAGGACGAAGAAGTTCAGTCTACCGATGGCCCAGGAGATGCTCGAACGCTATCTCACTATCAGACAACTCTATCCCGACTGGTTCCAGAAGCTCGACATCGATGACCCGGACCTCGAGGCCATCATCGACAGCGGTTATCTAGTACCCTTACCGAAACGAGATGGACATGGTCGAAAAGTGATACTGTCGTGTGCAGGTAACAATCATAAAAAATGCAAAAATCCAAAGATTAAGTTAAAATGCAGCTAAACGATATTTTGAAAATTACAATAGAGTTTTCTATAATATTCTTCTGTAATGTTAAAAATTTTAAATCAATTTATTTTAATAATTAAACTGTTCATTTCATGAGTCAGATTACTGTAGAAAAAAGCAACTTGTTTTTTGATCAAGCTAATTATCTCAAATTATTAAAATTATATAAATTTTTATTTCTACAAAAATTTTTAATTTTAGATTTACGTTTGTTTTACTGCACATAGTATTGATGATTAAGAAATCATAGTTTTAGTTAATATTTCACATCTTTTAGATCGTTTTAAATTACCTATTATTTATATATGGAATTTCTTTACTTTATAACTTTACGGAATCGTTCTTCGAATATATTATCTCTTTCAGATACTTATTCTATGTTAATTTTTCTTGTTTTTTGAAGGACGTTTTGATCCTTGCAAATTCTCGTCGATACACATGGCGCGAGTCCACAGCATGGTGGTGGAAACTTTGATGGACGATGAGGAAAATCAGATCCGCGGCTACACGCATCTGAACGACGAGTCCGGATTGACCATGAGCCATCTCAGCGCATGGTCCTTCACGGATATTCGCAATATGTTGAGATGCATACAGAACAGCACCCCGATGCGTCACAAGGAGACGCACTTGATCAATATTCCTGGCAGCGTGGCGAAGATCGTCGAGTTCGCTATCTCGCTGCTCAACGATAAGCTCAAGTCTCGCGTTATGGTAATTTACGAATTATGATTCTGCGTGTAAATTTACCTGATTGAAAAATAACGTAGTATCCCAATGCTGGTAGATACATAAAGATATGGAGGAGCTGAGAGAAGCGGTGGATCCAAAGATATTGCCGAAGGAGTACGGAGGGGAAATTCCGCTCTCGGAGATGATCGGTATGAGGATTACTCTAATTCTTTCCTTTTGTAGGACGTAGGTCTTTATGTTATTTTATTTTCTTTTTTTCCTTCACAACGTCTATCTTCCAGCTGAATTCAAAAAGGATCTGAAAGAGAAGAAAGATCAACTTAAGGCTCTCGACGACATGTATATCGAGATTTCACCTAAAGATTATCATGCGGCTAACAATGAAGAGCTTGGCGGAATATGCGGTTCATTTCGAAAGTTAGAAGTCGATTGAAGGCTAATTTAATTACATTTCAATCTCGTATTGATATAGCATCTAATTTTCATAGTTATTTTTGTGTGATTGCACATATCACGTATCAAGGAGCAGATGTTTTCATAAAAATTAAAATATACTTTATATTTTCCTTGCTTTTTAACGCAAAATGTTTTGTGTGAAATGTCATATTGTGACACACAAATTATATGAACACGTTAAACGAGTATGCAAACGATTTCTAAATGCATCTTTTGACAATCTTAACCAACTGGTTTTAAAGCTCTATTCGTTATAGCCGTTTTCTCTCTAGATTCTATTTACAACGTAATCGAAAAAAAAATTTTTTTAATGTTAAATGGCTAGCGCGTTAAGTAACGTTGGTACAATCGGATCTGTATATGAAATAAGTATAAGACAATTAATTTTTATATGCTATAATACCTCGTAAAGCGTTGTGTGAATATCTATTATCTATTGCAATAAGTCTCTCTTATATAACAGTAGCGTATACGAGCGAATTAATACTCGTTCCGCCGGTGGTACCAAGTTACCTATATGACCTATAAGTCATTATCTTGACTACATCTTAAGACGAATTGTGACCTGACACACTCGTAGTACCGTTCCTTGTTGTCGCTGCAATTATGAAGCTTGCACTTGCGATTGCATCAATTAGCAGATGCTTTATATACATTTATATACGAATTAAGACGCAAAGCGTTTAGAAATATATATATATATATAAGGAATATATAAATATATATATATATATATATATATATATATATATATATATATAAATGTTAGAGTTTGTGAAGTTATATTTTCGTTGGACTTTTTAGTCGTTTTTAGTAAAATAAAACTGGAAAATTTAATAAGAGATTTTCTTAGGAATTTGTAATATGTATATTGTTATCTTGTGATTATTTAGTCATTGTTAATTATTCTAATCATATTCAAATTGTAATCGAATTTCAATTATATGGTTTGCATATTTTAACCGATATTTAGCACTGGACACAAAATGTGACAATTTTGACTGGCTTTATTAACATGGAATTTACAAGTTAATACAAGCCAGATATTGAATGGTCACATTTTGTGTTAAATATAAACAAGCTTATAATTTAAACATATTTTATATAATATTCATTATTTTAAAGAGAATGATGGAATGTGATAGGAATAACACAGTTTTATAGTTGATTTGTAAATTTATAGGGATATATTATAAATATTTAAAAAATAGATTTATCCATCTCTATTGAAAGGATTTTTCCAAATAAGACCAATAAAAGCTATAATTTAAAACTTTAATTACAACATAAATCTTTTTACTAAATAAACGTGGATCATTTACGAGAATGTAGACGTAAGGCGCACTTTACTAGTATTGATTAAGAAAATATCTCATATGTAAGAACATATGTAATAGATATATATAGTAACACAGAATTCAGCAAATCAGTTCCATCATGATATTTTTCAACCATTCATGTGCTGCGCAAGAATTTTCACTATTTTAAGAATAGAGAATTTATCAATATAAGTAAACTAAATATTTTTCTTTATATATTATGTATATATACGTACATATTTTTATTGATCCTCGTCATCGTTAATTACTTGCTCTAAAAACTCAATGTTAGGTGGGGCTGTAGTATAAAGACTTCCTGAAATTAAAAGGAAAAAATTTTAATGCAACAATGCAAACTAAATATTAGATCTTTGTATATATATATAAGTAAAATATTATAATACTGCATATATCCATATCAAAGTACATTATTATCTTATCAGTTATTATATGTATACAGCTGTTTACATACCAATAAAATTTTGCAGACTATTGTCAAATGAAATAATCTTGCAATTGTTTATTTGTTTTACTTTAAATCCTATACAACGAAATCGTTCATCAGTTTCATATAGTTTAGTGCTCTTCCGTGAACTTAAGTGGGGTTGTCCACTAAAGGGGTTAATAAAGTCTGCCCAATAACCAGCCATTTTTAACTTGTTACATACATTCCAGGCTGCTAGAACAAACTGATAGAACTAATCACATATATATTTTATTTATAGTATCTAAATTTAAATTTCGTTTATACTAATGTCATATATTACTATGCAATATATAACATTTGACTTACATATTTGGCAAGTTTTTCTGTTTCTGCTTCTTTATACCATCTCATTGATTTAAGATTTGCCTTTTGACTAATAGTTACAATAGTGAGTTGCGACGAAGTCACATCCAGGCATTCTGGAAATAATTCCTCTATGCTTTTTCGTAAAAGAACAGGGCATTCTTGTGCCATATAATCTAACATTGGATGCACAACTTTCCAATTTCTCTTGTTTCTTTGATATTCATTTTCGTCATTTAAAGACTCTAGAAACTGTTCTTGATCAGATAGCTCATCAAAATAAGTCTTAACTTGGGCAGTGGTCGTAGCATCTAACCAAGCAGGTCCTACACTTCCAGGAAGATAGAATCGGAAGCCTCTTGGTGTTAGCAATTTCCAACTAGAATTGGTGTCCCAGGCGCTGTTGTCAATGTCTTCTTTTTATAAAAAAAAAATATAATTTAATAGATTTATCTATAAGACAAATATTTATATTTTAAAGCTTCAATAAAATCAAAATTTTGTCCATTTTATACTTAATAAAAGTAGTTTCAATATAAAGATTTTACACGATATTACGACATAAATGATTCTTTAATACAAGCATTTAATATGCATTTAATCACAATTAATACAATTTTTGTACAAAAATATATAAAATCTATGTAGTTTTTATAGATGAATATTATAGTTAATAAAAATAGTTTTGATATAAAGATTTTACATGATACTACACCATGAATGATTCTTTAATACATGCATTTAATATGCATTTAATCACAATTGATACAATTTTTACAAAAATATATAAAATCTACATAGATTTTATAGATTAATGTTGTTTTCTAAAGAGATAAGATAATAATAATTTGACTTATATAAGTAAATTTTTAATAAGTATAAGAACTTTGGAAGAAAGTACAGATTTTAGCTGTGACCTTGTGGGTCAATGACGTTGGCTTTTTCATCAGTAAATGACGAAATGAAGGGATCACTCACCATCCAAAGAGTCACCATTAGACTTGACGACCTTGTCCAAGGAGGTAGTCGTACTTCTGTCGCTACGACGTGAATAAAGGGCTCTCGGTACAAAATGTGACAGCAACGAAATACCGCGCTTTCTTCCGTATCTTATAAAGAGCATCTGGAAGTGGTGTTTGTTGTAGGTTATATTTACGAATCAATCAGCTGAGCAAACCACCACTTGATGCTCTCACAAACGAGCATTATCCCTTTTATTATTCGTTACGATTAACAGTGCATCTTTCAGACACAGTTGCAATTTACATAGTAAATTTGGATCACGTAATGAAAATAATATATAATTTTGCGCACACTTGAATAAAACTATCTATCTATATATTCTTTATTTATAACACAGCCAGCGCACAGCATATTTTTAGACTGCGTTCGGAAATCCTACTTCAGGGTGATTAGGATGTCATTCGATTGACCAATCGAAAGAAAGGAGCAAAAATTTCTTTATCCCGATTGGTCGATTAAATGCTGCCGTAGAATTTCCGAATGCATCCTCATTTATTTGGCTCGACAGGTACTGCCATCTTTCTGTCATCGGAAACCGTCGAGAGAATTTGTGCGATTCGAGTAGATCTGAGTTTTTTCTGACTTTTTTCGCGCATAATATTGTTTATATAGTAAATATTATTCTACGAAGCATCGGCGAGAGGACAGTAAAGATTGCTGATCTTGGTAACTTGAAAGATTTATTTCTTTTTTCGAGCAAAAGAGCGCAATTTTACGGCAGCACTCGCAGCTAACCAAACGATTCCATTTCTCATTATTTTGATAGTTTATTGAAATATTTTAATATTCGCATATATTTTAAGCAAGTACACTTTCGTGTTTATTTTCTTTATTCTTTTCTCTCCTGAAAAGATTAAATATATATATATATACAAGTTTTATATCCCCTAAACACGAAAGTGCACGAACTTATCTGATATTGCGCTCACTTCATTATATCTCGATTTCTTCGATATTTCGAGATTTCGAGAATCGCAAGCTTCTCCGATAGGTATCGCAGTCATTCACTGAACGCGCAAATGGCGGACTCGAGTCGCGGTCGAATCGCTCGGTATTTTTCGCGATTATATTGCTATCTAAAACTAAACTTTGCGCGTGAAAAATTATCGCGAGTGTGCCTCCTAAAGTGTCGATCGTGCGTCGTAATAAAGTTAAAGTCACGTATATCAACGCAATACGCCGATATCACATGATTTCGGTATCGTCGATCCGATATTCGGTGCGCGGGAAATCTCTTTGCATACTTTTCGCCAAAATGTAACGATTGATGCACGATTATCGTCAGGTATGTATATATCTTTGTTTCAAATAATTATATATATGTACCTTTATTGATATTTTATCTCTCTTGTTATTAAAAATTATATTTTATTTTTTTCACACGATTTTATATTTGGTTATTTTTTTGACAATAAATGTGAAAAAATATATGTGATTTTATATTTCTGGAAACTATTTTGTTCATCTTCATACTTATAAATGTCATTTTTTCACATCATTTTTTATCTATTTATTATATCGCCTTCGTAAAATTTTCGAATTATTTTCTATAATTATTACCTATACAATTAAAATTATATTTTATATAACTGACAATAAATTTGAATCAGCGCATGTCTATCATATTATATTGTGATTAATAATCAAGTCTTTGATCTTCACTCAATTTTCCTCTTGTAATTATATTATATATATAATATTATTTTTATTTTAAATATATATATTTAATATTGTGTAAAATATTAACTGCTCCCAGATATATTAGGCAAAATTCTTTATTGATTACATTTTACAGTTACATCTTTTACTGAGTCGTGATAATCTGAAAAAGTTCGGTATCTCGTGAAATAAAACGCCAAGCGCGGGAATTAGATGTATGCATTATTATAATAAGTTATTTTAATTTTATACGGCAAATATATATAATATATACGTTTGTGTTCTTAATAAAATCACAAAATTCACATAAATATATGTCACGTTACACGCTATAAGGGGACTTGTTAACTTGTGTCAGTGTAGATGTATGTGTATATACGCACTTCATAATCGTTTCTACGATTGAGTGTCGACGATGCCGCGGGAACGATATACATGTATATGTGTATATGTATATATATATATATATATATAAAGATTTCTATACTATAATATACGGGATAAAAACATCGTAAGAAACTAATACGTCGAATTATTTCTCGTCATCAATGGAATCACGTGGACGCCGCTCCACTTGATATCCGAATATTAAATCTTTCGCGTTTCCCTCAAATATTCGGTAAATATGCAATAACGGAGCACCGTCGCAATCTTTTTCATTTACATCGCCGAACGAATCGTTATTTTTTTTTGTCATGCAATATTTTGTAAATGCGCATGTTCTTTGCAGGCTTTAAATTCGATTCATCGTTTCGACGTCGAAGACAGAAAGGACGACAGGTTTCAACGGAGCTTCCAGATACGTCCGATTCGTGGACATCTCGACCGAATGTATATGAGAGAACGAGAAGATGGTAAGTCATAGAAAGTTACATCTAAACTGCACGTAATATTCATGGAGGAAAGAAACATTTTAATTCACCCAAAAATAATTTTAATATAAAAATCATTAAATGCAGCTTAGGAATTTTTAAAATTAATAGTAATGATAAATTTAGCTAGTAATGTGTGTGCATATAAAGCTTTTTCAGTTTAAAACAAAAAATTTTATAAATTTTCAAAATCATAAAAAATATTCAAACTATAATAATATAATTTTTATAAAATAAGTGATTTGAAAAAAAATGTTTTAATAGAGTATAGAAGAAGATATACATTTTTAGATATTTCAATATTTTCTGTTAAATTTCTATAACGAACGAAAAATTATACGCTCTCCTTTACATGATACAATATATATACTACCCACTACTTTTGATTTCCTCTATGAAAATTCTTTTTACATATTACATATAAATTACACTGCATGTTAAACATTGAACATTAAATGGAGAATTTTATGGTACTTGGACATCTATCAATTCGCTCGCAAATTCTGTCGATCATTTTATTTGCACGATATTGTAATTGATCGTGATGTTCGGCGTTTTCGTAATTTATTTTATCATACGGCTAGAACTGTCTCAAGTACTTATCATTAACACACGACAAGGCAATATGTCCACGAATCGTTTTCAAAAGTGAATCACGAGAATGACAGGGACGGCGTGTCAATGGTACTTTATCGATCCCAAAAACTTTCCGGCACGAAATAGTCCCTTTCAGCCGCATGTCTAAAAGCCATTTTAAGTCAGCATTTTCCAAAATGCGATATTTTGCTTCCCAGGGGTAAAAGCTATAGGGAAAAACTCTCAGATAGTCATGACTAGTCGAGTAATAGAGTATAAAAAAAGTACTATGATAAATATTTCCGTATTCTATCTCATGAAAAAGAGAAAATAAGATTGCTCACGTAAGTAGAAAAATTCGTGGAAAATTCACGAATTTTTTCTTTATTTATTCATTAATTTTTAAGGAATGAAATTGAAACTTTGTAAATCATTGCTTAAGGTAAGTGAAAAACGACAGAATACGGACGTCGATTTTCTCGGCTGGTATTATATTAGTTAATTAGTTAATCACTATGTTGTCGGGATGTTGGTATATAAGTACAATACATTTACAGAAAGAGACAAGAGAATATTCTCGGCCGACTCTGAGGCTGGTGTCGCATTGTTGTTTTTTTCTTTTTTTTTTCATTTGACTTACATATACAGGTACGGATATATATTATATATAACATCGATTTGTGTGAAATCGCCTAATCGCTAGGCTATGGTCCGCAATGTATTCGTCAGTGCTCAGATACGCGCCAAATATACCGGTTCATCTCTCTGGCGGTTTGAATTAACATAAGGCGCGTATCTGGCAATCAGCGTCCTAAACCTAAATCTATAGGTAATTCGTGCACGAGACATCCCTTGCGTCTTCAATCGTCCCCTATCGGCCATGATGTTATCCCCGAACTTCAGGCGGATTTTGTGGACGTAAATTTTGCTGATTAATCATGCATACTATGCAGAACGAGGACGATGACAATTATGATAATTATTACATAATTACCGACAGCTATAAATATAATTATATGTACGATTGAAACAACACCTAACGGTGTTTACATTTATTACGAATAATTACGATATTTTATCCCATTCTGATTATACACACACATACCCAAGTAACTCTTTATAATCTAGATTAGTGAAAGTCTTTGTTGTACAAAATCGAATTAATATCTATAGAGAGTATTATTTTATATGGTTATATTTATTTTTCAAAAAGAGAAACACGCATACGTGCATGAAATTAAAAATATATATTCAGCTAATTTGAAACTTTAGCTACAGAGTATTGAAAATCCATTATAGTTAATGTAATCGCAACAGATTCATATTAACTCTTTCAAACTGGATTATCGCAAAATATCAATTTATTATATGAAATTGTTATATGAGATTCTCGATTTACGGAGAAATATTCACTACATTCGTTGCTTTATTTTGCAAAATATGATTATTAACTATAGGATAGCTAACTTGAAATGATTTTACTCGACGGAAATAATATATAAAATATATATAGAATAATTCTATAGAATACTAAACTGTACGGAATCGCGGATTATATTTATAAAGTCAATCATCTCTTTATTGTTTGAAATATCTTCTACAATTTTTACTGAACTGAAAACTGTTCAGTAACTATTACATTTCTTCAAAGAACGCTTATATTAATAATATTATTCGTGGTATGTATTATATACATACAATGAACACTCAACAATTCTTTTGCAAAAATTAGAAAAATTATTTCGGATTGTATAATTAAATTGACTCAGTCTGTATAAAATTACAAGGAAAAATCAGAAGAGGATATTCGCGTTCAATTGGTAAAACATCATCGTCCTGCGTACGTAAAATGCTTATTTCCCGAGATAAAAAACCGTGCGAAACGATATCGCGATGCAAGGGTCATCATGCGTGGCAATTATATTTTTTTTGTTGTCGTACCTTGATGTGCGGCACTTTGCCGGGATATCCTCTGGTAGGGAAGTCGATAAAAAGGATACATCGAGTACATACACACACACACACACACACACACACACACGCACATACATACACAATGTTCGTACACAATTTCGCTGAAACGTGATCGTCCGCGTTGCGATCGTCCTCGTTAAAATCGTGCGTTTCAAGATGGACGGAAAAATCATCGTTTACGATTATCTTGTCGAGTGCTTCGCTTCCCAAACGCATCGTTATCCCTGTTTCTTTGCCAAATGTTTTTTTTTTACATTAAGATGTTATTTTTCATATGTTCCCATTAATT